AAATTTTTCTGTAGAGTGAAATAACTGTATAATTATAATAAAGTAACCTCTGAAAACTTGGTGCATGGTCTTTGCTCTTCTTAATTCTCTGCATTGACTTTCCTTATTCGTGTTGATGGAAAAAATTCATGTGAATATGAGATACAAAAAGTATTATGACTGTGATTAGCTGTTACTGTGAAACAAAATGTCTTTTTAAGAAGAAATAATTGTAGATACAATTTCTTCGGTGTATTTGAATAGTTTGTTTTTAATACAAAATAAGTTATTTTAATTATTACAATGTGTTATACTTGAGTGAAGCACTTTGGATCTCTCGCAGTCATTAGGCCTAAAATTAATGACTGATAATTGCGGCTGTGTGGTGTGATCAGTAGAGCAGTTAACTCTGCTTAACAGAGAAAGTCACTTGATGTTAAATGGATGGTATATGGCATATATTTAACTGTAAAATACAGACGATAATTTTAAGCTTACAAAGAGATTTTAATTTTTCACAGAGACTCAGATTTTACATACTGTGTCTTCCTGATACAGTGATGCGCAGTGCCTTCCAGTTCTGTTTAAACTTTTGTCTTAGGAGATGACTTATATGGGCTTTTCAATACCAAAGCAAGCTTTGATTGTTAGATGCGGTCTGTGAATGTAGTGTGTGAGATGTGTGCCTTCTTGAAGTAAGGTCTTATTTATTTGATCATGTAAGATAAACACATGCTGCTTGTCACACCCATTTTGTTGATAGCGTGTAATTTGAGAAGGAAAAGGGAACTGAAACACTGGAAAATAATAATTTCAAAGAAAAATATTCAACAAAGTATTAATATATTTGAAGTAAATTAAAATTTCAGGGATAATGGGTATACACTGGCAATTCCAGTCTTGACAGTGGCCACATCAGTGGTTTGTAATCTACTGCAGTGCAAAAAACCTTGTACTGGATGAGTTTGGCATAGTCAGGCTGCAGAGGATGTTTCTTCCTGTTTTTTTTGTTTGGGTTTTTTTTTTGTTTGTTTGTTTTTAATTTTTTTTTTTAACCTTTATGTAAATGTGATATCCACTGTTTGGAATGTCTTTTGACTCCCACGGATCTATTGATCTCTCTGTCTTCAGCAGTGGGGTCCAAGATATGCTAGTGGTGTGACAGGCAGAAATATTTCCTTTTATTAAATGCCCTACTCTTTAATGTCACTGAATTGCAGGTGTTTGGTAGGAGTGAATGAGAACGTTTGGTTTATCTTCCTTCTGTTGTCCTTTTTCTGCATGGCTCTTCAGTTTTTGCTTCCAATTTTTTTCAAAACTACTAAGGCCTCTAAATTTTTTTAAAAATTTCTCCTCATTCAGGTACCTTATTGTATTTAAAAGTATTTTCATAAACTTTTTCTGAATCCATTCCTGTAAAGAGTGTGACTGGAATTGATTTTAACACTCCTGGTGTCTCTTGCTCCATTCTTCATCTATACTGTTCTTGTGTTTGTCATTCAGACTCCATGTAGACTTTCAGGTCTTCTTTAATATCTTTGGATTGGTCTGTGTGCATTGCATTTGACTGTAACTTGAAAAATTGGGTATGTATCTTTTAATTAAATCTTCTGAAGTATGTCTCTGCTAACCCTTTAAATATCAAAACAAATCTTCAGGGAAATTTCCCCCTCCCTGCTGGTATGGACTGAATGGATGCTCTATTGCACTGCCTGTCAGTGTACATTGGTAGTCTAACTTTTCTGAAGTAACTGAAAAAAGCATTTTTTTTTTTAAAATACAAGAATGAAATTACAATGTACTTGTGGGCTTGTTTTATCCAAAATAATGATAAACTATTTGCATCAAAACTTCTCTTGTTAAGTATTCGTGTTCAGGAAAGATTGGTGGAAAAAATAGCTAGCGAGATACAGCGGTGTCATTTCAGCAGCACCTGGTTATTCAGTTCTTTTTCATCTTGGACTGGATCTGGCTGGGATGGAGTTCAATTTCTTCCTAGCAGCCTGTGAAGTGCTGTGTTTTGGATCTGTGGCTAAAATAGCGTTGATAACACACCAGTGTTTTGCCTGTTGCTGAACAGTGTTTGCAGATGCCAAAGTGTTCTTCCCCGCCCCTCCCCGCCTCCATTGCAGTGAGTAAGCGTGGGGTGTGCAAGAGATTGGGAGGGCACACTGCTGGGACAGCTGACCAGAATTGGTCAAGGGGATAGTACATACCATATAACGTCATGCTCAGCAATGAAAATGGGAAGAAGGCAAGAGAGCAGTTGGCTTCCAAGGTGGTTCTTGCTTGGAGACTGGCCAAGCATCAGTCTGCTTGTGGAAAGTGGCGAGTGGTTTCCCTTGTGTCCCCTCTTTGTCTCTTTCCTTCGCCTATTAAACCGCCTTTGTCCCCACCCGTAAGCTTTGCTCCTTTTCTCCAGTTCACTCCCCTTCTACTCAGGGAGGGGTGAGGAGCCAGCAGCAGCTGTGTGGCTGCTTGGCTGCTGTCTGGGATCTATCCACCACATGTCTGAAATGCAGTTGCAGTAATTCCAACAACATTCAAAACCTGGATTCTAGCTACATGCTATTTGTCACAGGTCTGAACGAAAGCTTGGTTTTGCGATTATATACGTGTTTGTTTTCGCTATCATATACAAAGCTATTTGAATTAGGAAAGTTTAGAAGGATTACTAGCCTGTTCTTTGAATTACCTCTATTAATTTTTTCTAGTGTCCTTTTGCACTGAGCAACACAGATCTGTCTGGTAAATTGAATTGTTCTTAAAGTGTTTCACTGTTTCTTGTGCTTTCTTGCTTTTTAAAAGTGATGGATCCTTTTGCATGGTGTCCCGTAAGGGACAGTGTTAAAAAATATAAGAGAATTCTCCATGTCTTTAATACTTTTTTTTTTTGTCGTCAAGGACGTTGATGGCATAAAGTGGTCTATGCTTATTTTTTGATCAGTTCACATGGAGTGCAGTTTCAGTGGATCAATGGATAGCTGTTAACAGCAGAAAAAGGCAAATACTGATCTAATTTCACCCTTTCCTTTCAAATGCAATTTTAGTTCTTTGTAAACGCTGTATAGAAATCTTCGAAGCATCTAGGGAACTAAATGATCTTTAAGGTCCCTTCCAACCCAAACCATTTTATGATTCTGTGATCTTTGGTCTGGATCTTGAGCTTTGAAAGATACCTTATTACCTTTCTCCTGAAACAAAACAGTGGATCTCCTGAACATAGGCCTGCCATCGCGCTTCTGTGTCGACAAGATTCATCTTAAGTCTAACAAGTGATATTAGCAGGACAAGAATTGTCCATCTGAGAATACCAGAAATACTTGGTTTTCTTTCCTCTTTAGAATCTGGATAATAGAGGGCATAATGTTACCAACACTAGAATTGCTTAAAAAAAAATATCTTCAGATCATGATACAGTAGTCACGTATACTTTCCTTCTTACTGGGAGGTTGCCATTAATTTGTTTTTCACACCAGGATATAAAGATTTTTCACATAGGGATGTACAGTTGTCTGCATTGCAATGAGATGAGATTATTACCTACTGAGGAGTCTTCACAGGTGTACAGCCGTCCATATGCTAAAGAGTGAAAAGTCCACTGTGTTTTCCCTAACCAGTTTTCTAACTTAATTTTACCCTTGTTTGAGGTTACATCAATATACTTACTCTTTGTAGAGACCTATCTTTAGGGCAGCATTCCTATAACAATTAGGATATTGGCAGATGGAGCACAGGTAGATGCAAGAAAAACTTTCTGGATCAGATGCTTTCTTCTGTCAAGCTATTGTGGAGACGTACCATAGTGTAAAGTTTTCCTCATTCATGTAGGATTATTGTAATAGGATGCTACTTAGGTGATCTCAGCGCTTTTCTTTTGGTGCGCAAATCAGGCCCTGCTCTCTGTAGATCGACTTGGAGAGGAAGCAGTTGGATGTATTGAAATCTAAAGAAATCTAGAAATAACCTCATGAGATAAGTTCTGTACGTGGATGCAGGTCTGTGCAACAGTGTGTCTGTAAGTAAGAATGTTTGAATAAGGAAGATGCTGAGTAGATTTTACTTGCTGTTAGCTTTGGCCTTTATCTTGTTTTGTGTGTGTCTCAAGGCTAATTTAGTTGTTTTTTCCAAATAACAGTGGTCTCATAGCCTTTAAACTTTTGCCAAGACTGAGATCTTATTCATGTTAAATATAGAAAAGAGACACTAAGACTGCTGGAACCTGTGGGGCCAAATATGCCGCACAAATTAATGTGGTGATTTTACACTGATATTACTGTTCTTCCTCTGCCTTCCATTGCATTGTTTATTTTGCTTGACACATTCTGTATTATCAGAATGGAGTGAATTATTTATGTGCTTGACCACATATATAGAAGTGATTACACTGTGATATTAATAGAAGTAAAAGTAATTAATTTTGCAGCCGTAGATTGTTTTGACTTCATTACTTTTAGAGCGTGTGAAGTACGAATCATACTTTGTTTATGAATTAGTGTTTGAGACTGTTTGGATCTAAAATATTGGCACTGATTAGAAAAGAACTTCTGTACTTCAGGAATTTCCATGCTAACTTAAAAATCCTTATATTTAAAAACAAACTCATAGTTGCATGTTTCTTCTGGCCATTGTACTCACTGTCCTTTTTCCTGGTGGGATTCACAAATGAGTGGCACCTGCAGTGTCTGTCTTGTTAGGCTTATAGATACATTTCTTAAATGTAAAATTTTTCATGACATGCAAGAAATAACATGAACTCTAGGTTTTGATGCATAGCAGATACTTTTATGAATTTACCAACATTTTGAATATGAACAAACATTAAAGGATTATTTGATTGGGTATGTTTTGCTTAGAATTAGTGGTTGTATGTACAGAATACAATGTGGTATATTAACAGTAGACTTGCACTCTCTAATTTAGCTGTAATCCACTAATAGTTCAAATATTAGTTCATTGTATTTCAATGATCAGTGTATTGTAACTGACTTGAATATTCTGCTTTTTATTCTTTAGTGCTGCAAGTTGATTGAATAAAATAAAGAACGTGGAATATAATATGGATGCAGTTCCTTGAGCACCGTTTCTTCCAAAGTGTGTATTCTGCAGATTGTTGGCCTGAATGATTGACAAGCAGCATACACAAGACTAATATCAAGAAAACTTTCTGTCTGTTGCTGCTGTGTTTGACAAAAGTGGTGCAGAGTCACGTCTTCTGAAATGCAGTTAAAAAAAATGAGGGAAATTTTACCAAGATTGTACCCCGGCCAAGTTAGTGATAAAAATGATTCCTTGACTACATCCCCAAAGCAATCTTCTGAGGATAAAACAAATCCATCAAAAGGGAATGATGATCAAAACTTGTGTTTTCAAGGGACTGAGGCTGAGAATAATAAGTTGTCACTGATAAGCTGTATAAAATGCAGAAGTGTTCAGAAAATTTTAATGCAAGATACAGAAAAGCATAAGAAGCTTGGGTGGACTGAAGACAAAAATTTCATCTGCAACAAGTGCAGTCATATTACACCACCAGCTTTCCATTTTGTTCCTGAGTGCGTGAATAGTGTAGATGTCAAAAAACGTGAAAAAAAATCCCCAAGTAAAACCCAGAAAACATTTAAAGTTAAAAACTTTCTGCCAGGTAAATACTACTGTGATAAATGTAGATTTTCAACAAAGGATCCTTTGCAGTATAAAAAGCACGTAGGTCAACATGAAGAAATTAAATTTATCTGTTCCCACTGTAGTTACGTGTCCTACACCAAAGGAGAATTCCAGAGGCATTTGGTGAAACACACCGGAACTTTTCCTTATCAGTGTGAGTACTGTGAATATGGTGCTGTTAGACATGACTATATAGTAAAACATACAAGAAGAGTACATGAAACACCCACAAAACGGCTGTCAAATACTATCATAAACCACAAGCAAAAGAAGCTGAGTCAAAGCACTTTCTTTGAAAAGCAGACATACAGTAACAGTCCTTTTCAGAATGACCTTTCAAATTCATCTTCAAATATCGTTTGTGAGATTCCACATAAAGTAACTAAACCAGTCTGTTTGTCTCACAATGTAGACTGTAGCGTAAACACAGCATCAGTCCAAGGTAAAACCACATTGGAGCCATCTGAAATAAGTGTGTGTGAGAATCAGAGTGTTGAAGTTGAGGTTTATTCTCCAAAAACAGAGCCTTTACAACCTGGGATGCCTTTAACAGTAATTGCACCATCTGAACTTGTAGTTCCTTCTAACTGTTTAGCTCAGGTAGTAGAGATTAAGATAGTGAATGGAGCACAACAGCTGGTCCTTAAACTAATTCCTATGAAAGAAGCAACTTACAAACCTGTGAATGGTGCTGAAGAGGAACTTGAAAATCAAGGTATAGAACGATCTGCAGAAGGAAAAAAAAAATCTGTATCTCAAAATGAGTTACTAACCATGGAAGTGAATGTAGACAAATTATCCAGTGTTAGTAACCAGCTTAATTTGGATAGTACATATGACAAGAATTCTGAATGTCTTTGTTTTTCTGGTTCTCAAGTCTTAGACTGTAACTCTGTATCTATACAGAGGGAAGATGCATCAAAATTCTGCTTCCATTTGGTGAAAGGTATTGATGTCCATTCGGGTGTTATAGAACTTTGTTCTCCGTCTTTGGTGATGAATAGTACTGAAAAAAAAAGTGATCTTAAGTCCTCAAGGTGGGAAGTAGATGGAAAAAATAACTTACATTATGACTCGTATTGTTACGAAGAAGGTGCGGATATGCCTCCTCCAAAATATGCTGCTGTTTCTGAAGAGAAAAATTCCAAGAACACTTCAGTAAAGGCCACTCAGGAGGGAAAAAATTCCTCTTCTGCAGTCCGTAAACAAAAGGATGCATTGCCTCTAAAGAGGGATGACAGAGAATATAGGAGTCTGCCAGTCAGCTCTACAGAAACACATTTAGCTGGTAAGGGTTTTGATAAAAACTCTGTTACACCTTCTGAAGCAGGAAAAAAGTTTAATATCACTAAAACTCCACCTTGTGAGGACATGACTTTTGGCTTTAGTAAAGTAAAGAGACCTGAAACCATAAGTCAGAAGAACAATCTTCTTCTGGAATCATTAGAACTACAGACAATGGAAAATAAAGACAACCCTTTTGAGGGACCTGTTATTTCATCTGTATTTTCTCTTAGCTCTGGGGCTGAAAACGTTCCAGAGGGTGTCAGATGGGATGACACAACATGCAATAAGAAGTCTGCAACATTGCTGTGTAGAAAGATTGCTCAGCTCATGTCTGCTGCTGAATCTAACATCAAATCCATGCCTCTGAGATGTCAAGCTTCTACTAAAAAGGTGCTTTTCCCTCAAGAAAATTCAGCTAACTCTCAGAGAGTTGTTCCTGCCACTGAAGTGGAACAGTGTGCATCTTTGTCTCAAGTGCATGGTGGAAGCAGTGTGATTAGTAGTGAAGAACACAGTAATGATCAGTTGCTTACATTTGCAAGAACATCTAAAAGCAGGGTAACTAAAAATTCCCATGTTGCTACTCCAGTGTTTATCCCCAAAGGGACAATGCTGAGAGTGCTGAATGCTGCTAGCAGTCAAAAATCAAATGGCATAGAAAACAGGAGTGAAACATCAGCTCCTTCTGTGTATTGCAATGAAATGTTTCTGCCTCGTCCAGTTCCTGTCAGTGTTTCTGAGACTCTTAGCAGTAATTTGCCATGTTTACGTAATCAGAGTGAACTGAATGCTCAGTCCCAAAGTGTATCACTCAGGCAAAGACCAAAGCGAGAGGCAAGTGTTAAAAATAATAGCAAACAAACTGGTGTCCCATTTCAGAAAACCAGTGATGTGAGTAAGCAAAGCAAACCCTATTCAAAAAGTCACCTAGGTTCCAAAAACAAGGTGAAACAAGCAAGCTTCAGGGAACTTCCTAAGAGGAAGACGAGAACTCAGTCGGAAACCAGTTCAAGTTCTGACATGTCGTATCTGTTGACAGCAAGACGTCTTCGGCTTGTCCCTCTGCGAATGAATCAGTTGATAAAATGCCCTCGTCGTAACCAGCCAGTTGTGGTACTAAACCATCCTGATGTTGACTCGCCAGAGATAATCAATGTCATGAAGACTATCAACAAATATAAAGGTCAAGTTCTGAAAGTAGTTCTATCAGAAAGGACAAGTAGTTGTCTTGGTGTCAAACGTTATCGAAAGCGTCTTACTCTTCAAAATGTTGAGACAGGAAACCAAGCAAAAAAGCAGAGTATGCTAAAAATGAAACTTAAAAAGACCAATAAAAACAACTACCAGGTGGTGGAAACTTCACCATCTGAAACACTTCAGTGTATGTTTAAATGTTGGTTTTGTGGACGAGTATATATGGACCAAGAAGAATGGATAAGTCATGGACAGAGGCACTTGATAGAGGCAACCAAGGGTTGGGATGTTCTTTCTTTTCCAGCAAAAAAGCATTAATTGAGAGACTGGGCAGGGGGAGGGTGTTCCTGCTTATTTTTAATGAGTGCCACTAACTTACCTGGAAAGTAAGATTGAACTAACTTTTATTTTGCCAAAAGGTCGCCACTGTTAGCAAAGTGGGAGAGGAGAGCAGAGTTACAGAGATATGGAGAAGCTGATAGTGAGGATTAAGCACTACTTTGCACTCTCATGTTTGAAATTTGTGTTGGAGGTCAACTTCATCTGTTCCATAGGAGAAATTTGAAAAATATTTGCTATGCAAGCATCTTTCTAGTTACCATTCTCTGTGCTAGGAATCTGTGCTGTGCTAGGTCTGTATGGATTAAAATCTTAGAGATGAGATCTGTAAATTTAACAGGGTTTGGTTTGCTTTGTTACAGTATAGTGTTTCAGAGATTGAGCACCTTTGGAAAAAAAAAAAGTGCTGAAAAGCACCTTTGATCCTCTGTGGGCAGCAAGTGTGTATCACAGGTTTTGGTGGCAAATTAAGCACCACACATAAAAAGTAGGACTTAAATGCAAGTACTCTCTTTCAGTGAAACTAAAAAAAAAAAAAAAAACAAAACTACTTCTGCTGACTTCAGAGGAAATACAAGGGTGTAAATGAAGAATCTATGGGATCAGAGTTACTCCCACTAGATCAGATAGCACTAAAAAGTTTAATTTTGTTTAGTACTTAGTCTTTACCTAGCCTGTATCGTGTAGGTGTGAGAAAGAAACCAGAACACTGTCAGCTTTCTGTACCATCTTTCTTCTGAGCAGGCAGAGACAGAGCTATCATCAGGCTTGGACCAGTAGGAGGGGCTTTTCTCTTTGTGGTCTCAAGGCTGTTCTGAAATCTAAGGAAGTAATAGCCAAACAAAAACCCTCTACCACCATGTGTGTGTAACCTGATAGAAATGCATTTGCAGAATTGGGCATTTGGTTAGAGCTCTAGTCAGTGAGTTAATGCATATTTACAGGAGGAACTTGCTGAAGATGAAGACTTTTCAAAATGGAAAACCATGTTGCACAGCTCTTACATTGACAGTGTTGAACCAGATTTTCAGTGCAATCTTTCATCCTTCTTAATCGTAAGGATTTAGATGTTAGAATATATATTTTTTTTGTAGGCCTCAATTCATACAAGCATGTGCCTAGTTACATATATATGTCTTATGTGTATCTGCTGACTTCAGTGCAATGTAAACATTGCTCAATTACTTAAACACTTTCCTAAATCAGGGCCAAATTTCAAGTTTTTAGTGAAGAAGAGGGATGGATGATACTGAAGTCTAATGTTTCTGTACATGAACAACAAATGTTTTTCTTCGCCTTGTCAATTTTAAATAATTTTAAAATCATATAGAATGAACTATATTGAAGCACATATTTACAATTAAAATCACATTTTTACAGATAAGAAAATCAATACTGACTCTAATGCTGGATGTGTGTTCTATGTTTGAACTGGGACTACTCTTGAAAGACTGGTAGTCCCTAGCTCTTTTCACTGTTGGTGCGTTTTTATAAACAGTTTAAGCTGGGAATATTTTTTTACATATTCCAGCAGATTATACATTGTTTTGATAAAGTATGTATCATATCTGCATTGAAATGTAAATATTTTAAAACTACATCTGACTGAAGCTTATTTTCAAAACCAGTTAAAACATTGCTTTCCCATTATTTTGCAATACAGTGTTAAAATGCTTCAGATAGTTGGTGCTTTGTCAGATCTTTTTCATTAGTACACATGGAAAATTTTTGTATCATTTGTATCAGACTGACCTATTCCACAGAACAAACTTCCTTTTGTCTGTTTTCATAATAATGAAATGACAGTTCTCATTTTGTATTCAAATGGAATTATATTTTTTTAGATGGGTACACTAGAGGGGATTTTTTCACTTCATATACTTTGATGCCAAACCTAACAGTACTATTTGCATTTTCAATTGTGAAAATAGCTTCCATTTTAAAATTCTGGCGTCTCACATACAGTGAATGTTGAAATTATTAACATAAGGAAAAAACATGGTTAAAATCCCTCCTTTGTTTTAACCTCTTCAGTCCAGGTTACTGTTTGAATTAATTTTGTTTCTGTAGAAGCTACTAAATAAATAGTTTTGAATTTGCTTCGTCAGAGTTGTTACTGGCAAAATTAGAACATTCCTCATGAAATTTGTACTAGAGGGGGAGATGGAAGTGTTGCTGCTCAGCTTTATAAACTCTGGGTGGTTTAAGTAGATTAGTAATGCTTGTCTTTGTAAGCAAGTTTACTGTTCTAGTAAACATCTGCAAAACTTTGTATGTCCCTGCTGCTATCTGCTATCTAAATTGTTAAGCTGTATGTTTTCATGGGTTTAATTTAGAAATTTTTTTTCTTTTAACATGAAAACCTTGTGTAAGTTAAATTGTATGGTGGCTATGAAACTCTTAAAGCCAATTACATCATGCCTCTTTTCTTTTTTATGAGCACTGCCAAACTCTGCTTAGCAGCTTCTGCTTTGTTAATTTTCATTTGTGTTACTAGATAATGTCATGTCAGAAAAATTTCCTTCAGGTTTAACAGTCTCAGTGGTTTGAGAGAAATAATTACAATGAATGTTCTCTTGCATTTTGATGCAGCATTGAGAAATAAAGGCTGCAAGGAAATAACAACCAACCGCTAAATTTTTTTATAGAGCTAGTTTGTGCCACATCATAAATCGTGTTGGAATGTTGTGTTTTGGGCTTGAATGTTTTTATTCTTGTTCCTATTCTGTAAGGATAAAGTAACTGAGGTTGCTTTCTTGGTATATCCCAGTTACCTACTCAAACTTCTGATTGTGCTTAGAAAGGAAGATTATGGATGCTTTGCAGAAAAATACTGAAGTTTGCCTTTCATATTTATAACGAATTCAGTTAAGCCTTCCAAAACTCAAATTACATGAATAAATATTACCATATTTTTTTGCTGAAAAAATATCTTCTTGTGATCTTTGATAAACACCGGAACATGTTTTCTTGCTGAGAATGAAGCACATCTGCTGTTCCTACTGATGATTTTTATCTCTGTATTTGCACATGGTGTCAATTCAAAGGGACTGTTTGCATAATGGTCCTACTATCTTAAGTGTTTGAAGGCTCAGATATGGAATACAAGTATCTTCTACGTAAGCTAAAGAATAACTGTTAGGTAAGTATTAGAATTTACATGATTAAAGCTAGCTTTATAATCTTCTCCAAAACCTATGAGCATGAGCTGACACCCACTGACTTCAGTGGCTGCTGAGCACAGCTTGCTATTGTACAAACATATGCACACCAGATGAAGTTGTTAAACAGTGAGTACTTAGTTAAATAACATTTCACGTGTACTTTTAAAAGCAAGAATTTTTTTTATATGACTGTAGTATACTTTATTAGGTTTTGCTACTAACTGAGCTTCAGTGATGTTTAGATAAGCAAGGTTGAGTTTGGTTTTTGTCTTGGGTTAGAGGGTAGAGTGCAAGATGAGCAAATTGCTCAATCATTGTCAAGATATCTCTTAAAACTTTTCTGTGAATTAATACAATACCATATACTTCACCTGTATCCTCAAAGTTAAATCACAAAAATCAAAAAATGGAGTAGATCTGTGTTCTCACTTGGAGAAAAGTTTTTTAGTGGAGCGTTTAGAATGCTTCATAATATTAGGAAGACCTCCTCACTCAAAGGCTAATCTGATTTTTGAGGCATTTAAATAATTGTTCTATTTATACAAACAAATCAGTGACATTAAGGCGGAAAACATCTTTTGTAGGACTTGAATGGATATGTAAGGTAGCATTGTTCTCTCTGGATTCCTGATCTATCCTTGCCGTCAATAAGTGTGATGGGAACATATTTGTGGAAGTCAATGATCTCTTTCACAGAATTAAATTTCTGGGGAAAAAAGAAAAACTGTAATTAGTGACTGAAGATGAAATTGCTAGATGGTTTTATCTATAACATTAAAAGACTTGCAAATGACAGTATTAGAAATAGGTAATATTTTGCATAGAATTAGATTAGATTATATGGAAGCAATCAGAAAAAGAAAAGCACCAGATTGTAATCCTGTTTCCTTTGTGTGTCTCTGTCTTGTGTAGGAGAAAGCAGCTGGCTGCTTAGGGCACCAGGGGAGTCTGTCTTAGCCCTGAGAATGCAGAATCACCTGTAGAAGTTTGCGATGATAGATTTTGAAAGATGAAGCAACTATAAATCATTACTAACTTTACCCTGTCAAAAGTTACACTTAATTAGCAGTACATGATACTTTACACTGCAAGTTTCCTTGTATCTTTTTAAATGTACCTTTTATTTTCCCATTCGGTTTACTGAGAAAGTTGCTATAAAGTCCCTTTAAAATATCGAACAAGAAGGGTCTCAGCAGGGTTTTAATCGTGTTCTCTGGTGTTCAAAACAATGACATCCTCAAAGCCTGTTCCTAAAATGACAAAGGTGTGCTTCGAGATTCCTGATCAAACAGCAACAGAAAGCTATGCAAGGTATTTATCCTCATCCGTCCTGGTGGGAGTCTCAATCCTGCCATTCCAACAGTTAACAATCCTTCAGTTTAAATAGTTCTTTTCCCAGTGTGTAACTTGTAACCTCTCATCATATCATTAAGCCATCATCACACTACTGTTTCTCCTCTTGAGCTATTCTTTGGACTCATTGGTATTAAGTCACTAGAACTGTACACAGTAATGCAAGCTTACTGTGACATTAATACTTATTCTGTATCTATATTACATCACATTCACTGTAAGCATGGGCATTCGTTGCAAACATGATGGTATGTCATGGTAGTGTCTGTCATCTCCACCTGATCCACACCTAATTTATAACAAGAGAATCTGATTAAATCTGATTTGATGTAAGTGTTCCTGTATTATTTTAAGATGAAAACTATTTGATCTCAAAACCAGCATGGTAATTTTTTAGTTTTGTTCCGATAACTTTTACTTACATATATTTGTTCCGTTTTGCTGTTTTGTCTTTGCCTTATG